ATAAAATATCATCTAACATATGGTTTCAAGTCCTAAAATAAATTATATAAAACAAAAAAATTCAAACCAATATCAGAATTCTATATATTCATTAACGTAAATTCAAAATATCAAATATCCTAGACTTTACCTATACTAATTCATCTAATAAAAAATAAACATGTCACCTATCCTAGGGTTCCTTATATTAATATATAATAATAATATTTAAATTAAAAAATATAAATACTTACCTTATAATGTTGAGAGAGAAAAAATCTTGACGAAATTTTAGAGAAAGAACTTGAGTGAGATTTTTAGAGAGAGTGTGAGAGTAAAATAAGGGGAATGATCAGGGGGGAGAAGACCAATATTTATAACGTGGAGCCTACGCAACGCTGCACTGTGGAGCGAGTTTTCCCATTTTGTGACACATGTCACTCATGCGTGGAGTGGGGGGGGGGGGGCGGGGGCAGTTGCGACGTAAATCGCTGTACAATGCAACACGTTAGACCATGTGTCAGAAAGTGCCATATAACGCGCTGCACAGTGCAGCAAGTTAAGCTACGTGGGCTGCTGTTGCAGACTGCGCAGTCTGACACATTGACTTGCCTAACTTGCTACACTATTCAGCGAGTTAGGTGGTCTCAAATTCACTGCCACGTGTCCAGACATAACTTGCTATGTAGGTTGACGTGGATTTTTTGCAAATTGTTTCGAGTGCGTGGCATTCCGATAAATATTTGTTAGTGACTTGGCAAAGGTCGTTTGTCTCTCCTTGCTATTGTTCCAAATTGTCTCTCCTTGCATTTTGAATTCCATTTATATTATCTAAGAATGCCTTCTTTTTTGTATGAATATTTGCAGGTTTGGCGGGTTGATCTAACTTTAGACATCGAATGTAGACAAGGAGACGATTACACTCACCTTCATGTATGGTGAATGAAATTATTCCTTAGTCTCATGTAAGAGATTCTCTTATATCATTTTTTTCATGTTTTCATGCAAATTTTACCCTTTTAAAGTAAAAATTTCATTTGCAACTTATTATCATACTTTGCATAAAATATTGCTAGCATTTCTTATTGGATTTTGCTAGCAATTTTGGTAAGAGGATAATTGGCAATCAGATTTGGTGGCTTGGTTATAGTTATGTAAATTATTTGATTTTATTTCAAGTATTCAAATCCATATTTTACATTTATTTTCCTTAAAGTTTCTAAAACTAACGATAAGGACATCATGCATGTTAATATTTCTCTAAGGCAATTTACTTAGGTAGTGGAAGACACTATATTTAGGTAAAACATTCAGTACTCGATCTATTGTCATTTAAGAGACCCAAAATAGTCTCTTTCTAGATGAAGATTATTAAATAGGCATATTTTCTAGCTGTAAATTTTGTTTGTGAAACTCTTAGTGCACACCAAAGTTATATGTTTATATGAGAACCTAATTATTTATGTAAATTCATTAAGTGAATATAGGTGACAAAATTGGTTTAAGCCATTAAGTCTCAATAGGCCTTAGGAATGTGACTTGCATAACTCGAATTAAAGGAAAATGTTTGAGAGAGGGATCCCTTTTAGTGAATATGCCTAAAGGTGGTATTTTTTGTTCTGTTTCTTTGCAATTATTGTTGCTTTGCTTTTGTCACCTATTCATCATCATTGCTAGCGCCATCCCAACTGACTTGTTCCTTGGATGTTTCTGTGTCTATTTTATAGAGATAATTTTGTTTTATAATTTCATTCTTAGATTGTCTCATATTGGCTATGTTTTATGTCTTATATCTTTCTATCATATAATACATTGCTTATACTATTTTGTCATAAATGTATCTGTAGGCAAACAAAAAAAATCGTAATTATAAATTCATAAAGATTGACAATTATCACATATTATAATTAAATTATTAACTAGTTACTGGTGGTTAATTTGCTTTACTACTACAATTATTTTCAAGTTAGTTTTTAATTATTTTTCCATGGAATGGAGTAGTTCAAATGCAAAGTGAAGGGATTAAATTTCTCACATACACATGCTGACTCATTTATAGCATTGGTGCTCCATCTGCTTGTATTATGACTTTATATAATTTATTAGAAGGGCATACATTATCGCCAGTGTTTTAGATTCATGCCCTTCTCTACTCTGTGATTATTAGTTGTAATATACAAGTATACTTAATGAATGTAGCTTGCAAGATGTACATTTATGTTGATTGAAATGCCTTTGCAATACTTGTAATTTATGGCAGTTGTAATTTGTTCCAATTTGAATATTATCGATTAAGAATTTTTTATTTCTCATTAAAATATTGTCTTTATTTATAATTTGTAGGTTTCATGTTTGGAATCCTCAAATGGTATTAGAAGGTCTTCACCAAATATTAACATATCATCCGCACAACAAGGTCAAAATGAAGGATTAGCAACTCTTCCCAATGACTTTTTCATGGATGACATTTAAATTCTACATATTTTGAAAACTTTGGAATGACATTTTATTGGATATTTTTGTGATCTTTAATTTTTGTTTAGACTACAACAGTACTTTGGGATTACTATTTTTTGTGTAGATTATAGTTCTATTGGGAATACATTTTGTTGAACTTTTTTGTGATCTTTACTTTTGGTTTAGACTACAATACTATCTGATGATATTTTGTTAGACTTTTTTGTAATCTATATTTTTTATTTAGATGATAGTGCAAAACATTAGGTTTGATGTTTTTGAACATTATGATAAATGACATTTTATATTTTATGAATGATCCTTTTGAGTTAATAATTTTAATTATATTTGGACGACATGTCATCATGATTTCATTGCTAGTAATAAAACTTAGGATATATTTTAATAAATTGTGTATGGCAAAATAAATACTTGAATAAATTTATAAAATAAAAAAGTATTTCAATAATAAAATAATAACAAATCACTATTATTCAAATTTAAAAAAATTGCATTTTTGAAATATTTCATATGCAAAAAATTTATTAATTTTTAAATTATTATTTAGAGGTGGTTCAAAACAGCCTCCAAAAGGAAATACAGAGGCGGTTACAAACCGACTCCAAAAGTCACGTTATTTGTCTAGAGGTGGTTCAAAACAGCCTTCAAAATGAAATACAGAGGCGGTTTCAACCGACTCCAAATGACACGTTATTTATTTAGGGGCTGTGATAAACCGCCTCCAAAATGAAATATAGAGGCGGTTTAAAACCGACGCCAAATGACAGGTTCTTTATTTAGGGGGCTGTGTTCAACCGCCTCCAAAATGAAATATAGAGGCGGTTTAAAACCGACGCCAAATGACAGGTTCTTTATTTAGGGGCTGTGTTCAACCGCCTCCAAAATGAAATATAGAGGCGGTTTATAACCGACGCCAACCGCCTCTAATAGTATTACACAGTGAATTCAGCTATCATTATGTGGCGGCCACACCGCCTTTCTAACCGTCGTTATGTTGATCGCGTCGGTTGTTCCAGCGGTTAGTTTCAACCGTCGTTGATTCCTTCGCGACGATTGATTTCGCGACGGTTGGTTAACCGTCGCCCTACGTTTTTAGCGACGGTTTGAACCGCGTCAAAATGGTAATTGCACCGCCGCAAATTACTCCTTTTCTTGTAGTGTCAATAGATAATATATCAAATTTTGGATTATATATAATGAAAAATTTATGTTAATGTTATTACAAATGAATTTATGCTGAATTGATAAAGTATTAAAAAAATTAACAGAAAATTTAATTTGCTAACGAAGGTTGGTTTATCTTACTCAAAGACATGGTATGTATGTCCTGATCATTTTGAAATAAGATAACCTTTTCCCCCTTTATAAATTATTGATTACTGCATTCTTGGTTAACAATTAATATTGGCTGATATATTCATAACTTTTCATGATTCAACAATGAAAATGAAAGAATAAAAAAGAAATTTCACTTAATGTTATTCGATAATTATACCCAGAAAGCAAAGGATTTACATTACATGGCCGTTTAGAAGAGGTTATAAATAAAAGTGATGATATAAAAGTGTTGAGAGAGTGTATACTCTGATTAAATTCTGTTTAACAGTTTTACCTACAACAGAAACACGAGTGCTGAAGCATTGTCCTTTAGATAATTTCTTTCTCTTTGTTATCTTAAGTTTATGATAGTATCTTATAAAATGAAGACATAAACTATTTCATGTAAAATCATGGACGACCCTAATTAATTATACACGTAATATGAGATAATTATCTCATACCAAAATATCTTAAGTTCTTTTCTTCTTTTTTTTAAAAAAATATCTTAAGTTGTGAAGAAATATGAGAGACACCAAATCTTTTAGGAAAGAACTTTTAATATATATAATTGTCAGCTGAAATAAATGCATGCATGTGTTTAGTAGATTAAGATAAAATAAGATGCAATGCGAAGATAGGCTCAATTGACAATACAAGTCTAGGACAGAATAACGGTTAAAAGAGCAAGGTTCGAATCGTGGAGAGCCCATTTCATATCACAGCTGTCTATACTAAATGACGGTAGTTCAGTTGGTAGCAAGGGAATTGAAAGAACTTTGATTTGATCCCCACATGTTATCTTTGGAAGGAGTTTAATATCTTTATCTTTGACACGTCCCGCACTGCATATTAATATCATAGTCGACTTAAAAAGTTGAAGTTTGTGGGGATACTGGAGGAAGCCAACTCATCTCAAAGAGCTAAGTAATTAGGATAAGATTAACTCAAAAAAAAAAAATTAGAGCTGGTTATATAATTGTCACAATACTCTACTTGCGATTAGTCTCATATATATGGGACTCCTTTCCTCACCCGGTTGTTGTGGGAATAGCTGAAGGACTTAACTCTTCCCATAGGGATTGGTGTCATGGAATAAAAAATAAGATGCTAAAGGTTACGTAACTATGAAAAAAATTATTTTTTTTAGTAAAGCGTGGTAGGTTAAATTGAATCAGTATATATGTGGGAGATTCAACTGAACGTGAGGACTGAAAAACTGCAGATAGGGTTTTGTCCTACTAGAGTAGTGTTCGAGTAGTAACACTCCACTCCTCCTTTTATCTTGTATCTTCTCAATTTGTCTTGTTTTGTATATGAGACTCATCACGTGAATGTCTCTAGCTCAGACAACTCTTCTCTTTTTATAGCCTCTCCTTCGTTTCTTAAGTACCCTACCACCGTGTGTTCATCCCCTTTCTCTTAACTCTTTTTAGAGGTTACCTAGAACCTTGTCATTCTTAATTTACCCTACCCTCTCTCTCTCTCTCTCTATCTCTCTCTGTGTGTGTGCAAACAATCCATATATCCATGACTCCTGTTTCTCTGAACCCTCCAGGTCCTTCCATAGGTCAAAACCAACTCTTCATTTCCCCTAATAATCAGGACTGCCGTTTCTTATTTAACACACTTGATCAAAGTCAAAGCATAGAAATTGGACGGTTAAGAGAAAATTATCATCAGGCAAGATCATATCTTCCTTTCTGAGTTCTGTATATATTGTGATCAAATTTTATTTTTTTGGAAGTTTTTTGATCAAATTTTATCATTAATTTTACTTGTTTTTTTGTAAGTTTTTTGATCAAATTTTATTTTTTTGGAAGTTTGTTTTCTCGGTTTTATTGTTCACGAGGCTGAGAATATAACCCCCCTTCCTCTTTTTGGATCTTTAAACAAAATATATAAGTATATATATCCATTAGAGTAATCAGAGTTTTGAAACAAGATCAACGTTTGGTGGTAATGATCACTCTACAAAGGGTGCTTTAATTAATTAATAGGTAAGGCTATAATATAATATAATGCTTTTTTATAAAATAAAAAAAAACTGATCTGATTTCTAAGCTTAATTTTATGATAATTGAATCTCCCTTAATTTCATCAAGTTAATTACTAGTCTCTATTTTCATGTGTAGGTCAAATTTATTCTTATTGTTGATAATTACATGTTACTAATTTGTTCTATAAGCATAACTAAAATATGACCGTTTTAGTGTCACAAAAAGAAGAAGAAATTAAGAAAGAAAGAAACATCCTTGTCTGCAGTTAGAATCATGCTCTAATATGTATTGTCTAATTGATCTCTTGATTTTAGGATATTGATAAACTGGTATTGCATGATGATGGATCATCATCAAGCAATCATCAACTTTGCAATTCAATATCATGTGACCGTAATTTATCCTCGCACAAAATGGAGGAAGAAGATAGCAAAAATGGTCACGGGTGTGCAAAATGGATGTCTTCAAAGATGAGGTTGATGAAAAAAATGATGAGACCAAGTAGCAGTGCAGCGACTGACAAAGCCATCAATACTACTACTACTTCTACTACTACTACTATTACTACTACAAGTCCAAGATTCCAAAATGAAGGGCACCAAAACAGGTACAGCCAAAGAAGCCCTCGTAATAACAGCACTACCACAACTAGGGTTTGTTCGGATTGTAACACAAGCAGTACCCCACTTTGGAGGAGTGGCCCTAAGGGTCCTAAGGTTAATCTTCTCCATTCTCTTTTTCATTTACTATAAATTAATTACCTAGTATTGTATTGTTAATTATATGATTTTTGAGTAAGGTTATACTGACAAACTTTTTTTTACAAACTACACTATGTCTGACCAGTAATACTTTACTCAGGAGTATATTTTATTTCCGATCAGACATAGTGTAGTTTGTAAGAGTTTATAAACAAGTTTGTAAATATAACAATTCTAGTTCTTTTTTATATGGACAGAAATATATACTACTTTACTAACATGTGACATGTTGGTGGTGCAGTCGCTTTGCAATGCATGTGGCATTAGACAGAGGAAGTTAAGAAGGGCAATGGCAGAAGCTGCAAATGGTTTGGCTAAGCCCGTAAATGCACCATCCACAAAGACCAGAGTGCATAACAAGGAAAAGAAGTATCGTAAAAATCATTTTGCTCAGTTGAAGAATAAGTACAAGACCACCAGAACTAGTGCTGCAGGGTCATCTCAGGGGGTACGGAAGCTTGAATGTTTCAAGGACTTGGCAATAAGTTTGAGTAATAACTTGGCTTTTCATGAGCAAGTGTTTCCACGGGATGAAGTAGCTGAGGCGGCGCTGCTTCTGATGGATTTATCTTGTGGTTTTCACTTTTGATTACATACACTTTTTGCCATTTGATTTTGTTTTTTACTTTTATATAAACATATTTTATACTTATTTGTTTGGTTTGTGAGACCGAGCTTATGTATCTGCAGCACAACCAAAATATGGTCGGTTGCATTACAGCTACAATGTTTATGGTGATTAAGTAGTAATAAGTTTATGTAAGCGTTCATGTATATTTAGTTTTATATTGTAGCTTGGAATTATGGGAGAAGTGTTTCTGCACCAATAGATCATAAGGTTATCTTGTGTAACCCCAAAATTAGTCATTTCGAGTGTTCAAGGAATTAATGAAAGATATTTTAGAAATTTTGTTTATTTCTTTGTTAGATGAATTTTATCAAATTAAAATATCCTTTATTAATTTTTCAAGTTGTGAAGTTGCTGGAGATAACTTTATATCATGTGGCAGAAGAAATGATAAACCCTGAAATTATATATCAAGTAAAAAGATATGTATATTTAGGAGATTTATTCATTGATTAAGCTGGTCAAGTTGGCAATAAAACTTTATTTCAACATAATTGCTATTATGAGACTTTACCTGAACAAGGTTATAGGCTATACTGCTCCAACACTTCAAAAATCGGACTTGTCATATCCGACACTCTCCGGCACTTTTTGACAATCTGACACGTTTCGACATCTATAATATTTGAAATTTCATTACATATCATAAAAAAATTAATCGATGTTTTATCAAATTGATATAATAAAAATTAAAAATGGATACCGAATAAATCTTACTGGAGTATATAAGATATTTTTAATTTGAAAATATAATAGTAAATATTTACATCTTATGTTTCTTTGCAAAATTTATTAGTATTATAAGTTTAGTTTTTTTTTCAATTATTGAATATTAAATATGATATACACTATATAAATTAAAAATATTATTTAATATCAAAATGTGTTTTAACATGTTGAAATCTAACATTTTTTAGAATTAACACATGTCAGAGTGTCGTATCATGTTGTGTCTCGTATCGTTGTCGGTGCAACATATATAGATTATAGGTATAAGGTAGTGCCTGGCATTTCATAGCATTGCAACGACTAGGATTAGCCTAGTGGTGAGGTATGTGATGTGTTTGATTCTCATGTGCTCCAAAAAAAAAAAAAAAAAAACATTTCAATTTTCATAGCATTGCTATTCGGGCCCGACGGGCCGAACGATTGCCCGAATTTCATGTGCCAGAATAAGATGACAAATTGTAGTGGCAGGCTAACATTAAGAGTCCTCATCGATATCTTATAAAAACAATTGGAACTATTTAAATTTGTTTTTTTTAAATGCCTCGTATATAGAAGAGGATCCTCTACGTTTCATTTTTTTTGTTTAGTAAGTAGAAGGGGCCTAAGCCCAAAAAACAAAAGAGCAACTACATAGCAATAGCATCTTTTTGCAACAAAGGTCCCAAACCATTGGGAACACTAGATTGAAAAACAAAATGGATCTAGTACTGGAATGCAGCTTTAGCCAGCCAATGCACGCAGGAGTTCCCTTCTCTATCGACATGTTAGAAGAAAATTTGCCAATCCTTCTCTATCCATTTCTGGATGGCTTTAACTATAGCATGCGTGGAACTGACTCTCCCTTTTGCACAGACAGAGCTTGGAGAGCATGGAGAGAGTCACCTTCCACTATTATATTTTGAGCTTTCAATTCTCACGCAATATGAAGACTTTTTTGTCATTTTAACATCGTGTTACATGTGACAAGATTAGTCATTCATAATTCTTAAAACAAATTAATAATCACCAATTAAAATAATTTTCTTTTTCTTTTTCATTTTACGTGTACAATAATTACAAATTATATATTTAAAACATAATAATACACATAAGAATTAACGATTTTTTTAATTGTTAATTGTTAATTTATCATGAAAAATTATAAATGGCTAAAATTTTATTACATAACATAATCACATTGCGTCCTTCAATGAAAAAGGAGCTTGACGGTTAGTGAAGTTAATCAAGCGGTTTCAGTTTGGATGTAGGTCACAAGTGGTGGTGACTGAACCAGAATACGTCTTGTTTGCATTTCTCTAACCCTTAACTCTTTAATTTATTTCTAAATTGCATTACTTGATTGTATTTGCTTATTTAATAGCTTATGTATTGATCACACACTAGCATCCTCACTTAGAATATTTGTGTTAAATCAATAGATTGAAGAAAATAATTTTTTCAAAATATAAAAGGAGACATTTTGCAAAAAGATTTTATAAAACTCAATTCACCTCCCTCTTTTGTTTTGAAGTCACTTGTCGAACATGAATCACAAAGTGATTGTTGGATATGAAGTAATAGATATCATAATCACTATCCTAAAAGTTCAGCTCATTTTGGCAAAGTCTCATCGTTAGATTTAATAAAAATAAAAAAACTAGAAGTTTTGCTTTTCTATCTTCTCTCCATTCTCTTCCCTATATCTCTCTCTCTCCCCCATTTTTTTTTTCTCATGATGTAGTGGCTTCAATATGTCATTGTTGTTACTTTTTTTCTTCTCCTTGGCAAGAATGTAACCTTCTTCACTTTATACGGCTATTGCACCTATTTTTATTTCAAGGGGTCAGGCAACAATATTACAAGTGAGTCATGAGCCTAACAAATGAGATAAAAGGTCATGGATCCAACAAATCTCTCGCTCCATAACCATGAGGGAGGGGACCACAAGCCAACTTTTCATATGGAGCCCATATGCGCAAGCTCCTTGCACAACTCAAACTTCTATTGAGTTACAACTTTAGCTAACATGCTTGAGGCATTCTTGTTAGTTTGGATTTACTTAACCTTCAACTACTCCATGTAGCCAATGGTATCTCACATCAATATGCATTGTGCGAGAATGATAAATTGAATTCTTACTCAATAGAACTATAACTATCACAATAGATTACATATCCATCTTGCATAAAACCGAACTCTTTGTGAAATCTTTCATCCATAGCATAGCTTTCCCAACTTCGATAGCAACAATATGTTCAACCTCATTTATAGATAATACAAGACATTTTTGTTGTTTGGACTGCCTATACACAACTCTTCCTACAAAAGTTAACAAAAACCTGGAGATAGTCTTTCTACAATCAAGGCTAACCGCTATATCAGAACTTGTGTATTCTTCCAAGATTGGATTGCAACCTAAAAAACATAAGTACAACTTGGAGCTTCCTCTCAAGTATCTCAAGATCCATTTTGCAGCTTCTCAATGATATCTTCTTGGATTATCAAAAAACATGTTCATTATACTAATTGTTTGTGCAATGTTAGGTCGTGTGCAAGCCATAACATACATAAGGCTGTCAATTGCAAGTGAGTATGGAATAGTTGATATGTCTTCTTTTTCCTCTTTTTTAGATGAGCATGAGTTTTTACTCAAATTAAAATGACTAGCAAGAGGTGTGCTAACAAATTTAGCACCCTGCAAGTTTAACCTTTCCAACACCCACTCAACATGTTTTTCGCGTGACAACTATAGCTTCCTAGCCTTCTTACCATGAACAACTTGCAAGCCCAAAACTTGCCTACCTGACCCCAAGTCCTTTATATTAAAAGACTAGAATAATTGTTCTTTCAATTCCCAACACTGACATCTTACCCAACAAACAACATATCATCAATATTAAATAGAAGAATAATGAATTTATCACTAGGGAATTTTCTTAAGTAAACACAAGGATCTGCACGAGTTCTTTTTATATCCAAGATCCACCATATTTTGACAAATCCAATGGTAAAACTTTGTTGGAATGAGCTCAAATTTTAGTGGAGTGGTCATGCCATATGATACTTCATATCCAATGCTAACTTTGTGATTTGGAAGTAACTACGGAAGCAAATCTATTTCCCCTTTTTGGGTGTTTAATTTGTGACTTTCATTCATACTTTTTTTCTTGATTTCCATCTTTTAAATGATGTTACTTGATTTATCTATTGTTATATATAAAGAGAACATTTTGTATGTGTACCCGTTATTTTTAATTGGTGATAGTGGAAGATTTGAGTAGACTCCGATAAAGGTTCCATAACTTTTTTTCCACTTTGATTTTTTTCATGTTAAAAATCTTGTGTGCAATTGTGTTGATGTTGTTCTTGATTTTTATTTTTTTTGAATTGTTTACTTCATTTACACTTAATCAATTGTTGTTGGACCCTAACAAGGTGGTATAAGAGCCGGGTTTGACTCAGGCTAGCTAGTTGGTGTTTGGCTAGAGGTTGGTAAAGTACTTAAGCTTGGAGTACTTAGAGATATTTTTATTGAGGAGGAGCATACAAATGTAGGATTTCATACTTGAGGGGAAAATTGTTGTGATATTCAAATGTGACAGAGTTCCACATTGGTTGATAATGAGTTAAGTAATATCATATAAATGGAAGGACCTATGAACCCAATACATTAATATTTTGGGTTAAAACATCAAACATGGTGTTACACACACTTATTGTGATCACTATAGCTTAGCTCATTGGTGGTGGTTACTTACCATAGGCTCCCGTGATCATGGTAGTTAAAATCGGAATTGTACCTAAAACCGGAAGAAGGATAAAAAATCGTAAAACGTAAAAACCTAACGTAAAAAAAATCGTAAAAGCGTTTGGAATTTTGATAAAATCGTTTTGATTGAAAAAAATCGTAAAATCGCAGATTTAAATCGGAATTTTAACTACCATGCCTGTGACCCTAACTAACAATATTATCTTCTTCTTATTTTTAGGTCACAATTAAAATCAATATACGAAAAAGAATTTCTTAATTGAAATGGAAGGCAACTAGAAATCATTAAAAAACTCGATAGCATTCGAAATTTTGAATTTCATTTTATATCAAGTGTTAATTAACTATTTTTTATTGTTAATTTTTGGATAACAACTGTTTGGTTTTTTAATTTGCAGTATTTTAAGTTTGATAAAAGTTTAAGTGTTGAGCAACCCATAAATAAGTTTCACACTTTCTTTTAGTCTAAAGCAAACATATCATTTTAACAAGTTACCAATGTCAATCATTTTCGAAGTAAAGGAAAAACTGTGTGTGCGTGGGAGGAGGAAAAACTGAATCTAGTAATCAAGTTCTCAGATACAGTGTTTTAAAATTCAAACCAGTCATTGACTCGGTTGAGGTACTAAGTCATTGGGTCATTGGTTTAACCGGGTTCAACCGGATATACTGTTCACATATTAAAAAAATAAATATACTACTTATAATAATATGAAGAAAGTGAATGGTAATAAATGCTATAAGTGAAAGCCGAATATTATCTCTATATGCA